ATTTTAATCTAAAAACTAGAAATATTTTGTTGAATAAATGAAAAATCTGACGTTCCATTTCTGGTTTTGATGAAATATATCTTGATAATTGAATTCTAAAGCTACAAACTACTTTATTTTGTCATTTAAAATTTTGTTTATTTTGCCATTTAAAATTTACCAAACATTCATTTCTTTTTAAATCGTTTACGTTTGTTATAACCAGTAGTTATATTTTGCGTTAAGGAAATGATTTACAACGGTAACATAAATGATTTACAAAGGTAACAAACTATCAAAAATTTATAAAAAAGCACTAATTAGTATTTCTTTGTACATGTTTTATTAGTAATTACTATAGCCTTTGTATACCTTTGATTATTAATTTTTACTTTTTGTTTAAAAAGTATTAGTGGTTTCATATTACTGATACAGATTTTAGTATTGATAGTGTATATATTTTATTATTAATATACATTTTACCATCCAATTTTGAAAAACTATGTAATCTAACCGCTTAACATGGGTTTTTGGTGACATCCTAAATTCTCAAACCAATTTTTTAATTTTAATATAAAAGAAAAAAAATATATTAATTTCATTCTCAAAGGTAATCAACTAATTGTTTACATTATAAAATTAGGCAAATTAACACCAAATACAAAAATTACAATAACGTAGATTAGATTCAGTCACGCCATGTCATTCCCTTTATTACTGAAAGTAGTTGAAACATTAACTTAAACTGTAAACATAAAGGTTAGGTGAGTTCCCTAAGATACCACATGATATACAATAACGAGCATAACTCAATTAAACACATAAGCGAGTCTAGCCCAACGAGCCCATCCCAACGACCTTACCCAACAAGTATATAAGCGAGCCCAAACCACAAGCATACCAGCAAGAGTCACAAAGGAAACAAACATACAATGATACCTAGTGTCCTACAATATTATAATGAGAAGACACATGAATCAAGAGCTGAATCAATCATTCATAGTCTTAAAGAATCAGCTACATGAATTGTCTAAACCAACAGAGACTTAAACCACAGTGTATAACCCAAAACCTTAAAGTTTAACCTAAAGTCAAACGGGTCAAAAAGTTAACAGTTAAAGTCAACAGTCAATAGCCTTCGCTCCGCGACCAAATACCATGTCCGAGTTGCAGATACTAAATGAAAAATTAGTCGCAACATCCACTTCACCGCTCCACGGTTGATGTTCCAACAACTTAATCAATTAAGCTCTTATCCCTTCATGTCTAGAGCTCAAAAGCTCACATATAAAGCTTCTAAGGGACTTAATGGATAAAGTTTCTAAATTTGTCTATTACACCATCAAGCCATGTCCAAAACTCAAACCCTAACTCTCAATTTGACCAAAAATGACCATAACTCATGCAAGGTTTAAAGGTGGTGCAAAACCTCTCAATTTTCCAACTCAAACAAGGTCCAGAAGATAAATAATCCATTCTAAACCTCCAAAGTTCTTCCAAATCCAAAGGAAATACAAGGGACCAAAAAAAAGATTACATCCATAATATAAGATTAAGAAATCAAAAAGGTGTGAGCTTTATACCTCTTCCAACTCCAAAAGATGCAAGAGATATCATATCTGATGTAGAAACCACACTCCAAGCAATAAGCTCTCCATCTTCTCATTCCAATGCACCTCCAAGCTCAAAACACCAAGAACACACACATAAGGCACATACAAGGATTAGGGTTTCTCTTTGGAGGAAGGAGGATGAAGATAGAGCAAGTCGTAAACATGTATTTCCTTAAATATGACCCAAGGCTTGAGACCTAGGGTTGTGGGTTGTTGCCTCCATCACGCCGCATATAGGAACCAAACCGCGCCGTAACTTAGAAATGTGGTTGCGTCGCGATACCCTAGTTTCCACACCACAATACCCTAACTTCCGCTCCACGGCTGTATGCTTTTACTCAAAACCATATCCTTAGAGTTCATAATTCTTTAGCTAATCGATCTGGAAAATGGATGTTACAACTCTTCCCCACTTAAACTGGATTTCTTCCTCGAAATTCGTCTCGATGGAATTAAGAAAGATCAATGTGAGACAAACCCACAAGTCTTTGCCAATTGATTGCAAATCAAATCCTCATACAATAGGGGTTCACAAGGCCACATGGAAACCAGCCGTCGTCACTAAAATTCTAATTATTCGAAATTATGCAATTCGCAACCATCACTAGTACAAAAATGACCTACGGTCACACTTTCCGAAAAACATCTTGTCACACTTTTTATTTAAAGTGTGGCCAAAGGTCACTAAAAAAATTTAGAGTCTGTTTTTTGATACATTTAAATTATTTTGTGTGGCCATTTTATAGGTAATTAAAACTTTAACCACACTTAATTGTACCAAATGTGACAATTATTAGCCACACTCGAACACTGTGGCCATATGTCACCATCTACTATAATTACCGATTGACATTATTATACTTTTTTTATATGAGACAATAGATAAATATTTGGTGATATTAGACAATTGTATATGTTTCTGTATCATGGTGCCTTTTTAGACACTTGAAATCCAATGTAGCTAACAGGCGATACATATGGCCACATTAAATATTTGTGTGTCCATAGGGTGGTGTTAAATAGTGACTTAGTAAAAGCAAGAAAACAAGTTATTTTTAGTGGTTTATGGTCATATATCTTTTATTATAGGTGTCTAAATATGATGACTTGGCTTTGAGAAAAAATAAATATTATGAGTGTAAGTTGCATTTGGTTATGTTTACAATTATTATGAGTGTCTATGAATAACTCTAGTTATAGAAGAAATATAATGTCTAATCAGTATAATTATAGTATGGCCATTAAATGTGTGACTATAATTATGTAATGGTGATTCTTTTGTTACTAGTGTATGACTAAATTTAAAGAATAGCCTTCATAAAACAAAAATATGTTGTTGTAAGTATTTATACTGGTGACTTATGAATGTATTTTGTGCTTTATCACCAAAATCCTCAATAATAAAAATATATTGATAATATTAATTCAAAAAGTTACTTTTAGTGGTTTATGGTCATGTGTCTTTTATTATGTATGTCAAAAAAATGATGAATTGGCTACATCAAATGACTTTTGGGACTTATTTTGGTCATAGAACAATTGGAGTGATGTAAACATGTACAAAACAAATGGTTAAAGTTGCATCTGAAGGGATCCTCTAAGTCTACCAAAACACCCTCTTGAAGGGGACATAAGTCGTTACTATGGTTTGTACCAATTTCTGCATCCAGAACCCAAAGAAAGTAAAAGACCATATTACCCTTTTGTAGTAAAATTGTTCTAGTTTTCTTATATTCCATTTTAGAGAATACCAACAATAGCGTTCATTGAGAATACCAACAATAGCGTTCATCTTTAGAATGCACCTTTTCAGCTTCTGATCACAAATTAATCTGTTAAATTGTTAAAAAAATCAAGTCTTCAATCATATAAAGTATAAAAAAATAGGAGTATAAGATTCTGGCTCATGAACATGAATTCTAGACATCTATTTACTGTTACTTGGTTCACCAACACCACTAATATCAACTGAGTTCAATATTCCAGACCCTTTTATTCTATTCATTGATCCTTCATCAACAACTGATTGACTAATGACTGAAGCGCCCATGGTAGTACCTTTGTATTTGTTTGCAAGTGGTTGATATAAGTATGGCCCATGTTAACTGATGCATGAAGGGTGATTCAGTGTTGGTCCCTTATTGACCATAATGGCTCTCTCCTAGATCCAAACATACTTTCTGCTCTAAATTACTCTATTAATACCTTCCGACATTTTCAATCATCCAATTCCATTAGTTCACAAGAATCAATATCTAAATAATATATAAAAACTGAGTAAAGCAACAACAACGAAATGAAGAAGAAATTAAATATCTAATTTCCTAGATGATCCTTACCAATTAACAACAAAATGAAGAAGAAATTAAATAGAGTTGACACTTTGGATGGTGGTTGCTAGTGTCAGTAAAGCCACACCAAAATTCATAAAAAGAATGCCCTAACTTGGAAATAAAACTAAAAAATCATCTTCCAAGAATCAAGTGAATATATAAATACAAAATTATAAAAGTAATAGAATGTACTATTACTATGAATTGCATCGTGAACGAAGTAATCTCCATGAACAAGATGAATTTAGAAGATGAATATACATCACATACATTAACTGAAGAAGAATATTACATCAACTGTCAGTCCCATTTAAATTTTGAAAACAAAGAACGGGGCTGGGAGATGGATTCAAAAATTTAGATGACACCTATTGTTTGTAGGGTTTGTATTTATAAGATATGAAATTAGGGTTTGTTGTTGAATAACTCAAGTAAACCAATTCAGCATCGCAATAATAGACAAGAGCAAGTGTCAATTATCAAACAATGGTGCAAATAGATTATCAAAGGAGAAAAAATCGATGGCAATAAGTGAATCAATTGTAGTACAATTTTCAATTATTGCTTTTTTGATTGGTTGTCAAAAATCAATGGCAATCAATGAATCGGAGCAAGATTGCAAGAGCAATTGGAAATCAGTGAATAAGAGGAAAAAAGCGGAAAGGAAAAGCAGAAAAATATGATTACTTATAGTGTTCACTAAAAGGTCAGTGTCATGCAAGATGATGACGACCCAAGAAGATGAACAATGGATGAATCGAAGATGATGCCCTCTCGATTTCTCTTGTCTTAATTTTAATATCTCCGTCTTTAACTTGATGGCTGTTGGTCGACGTCGATATCATCGTCGTTGCTGCTGTGCACGTGGGGAAAAGTTGCAGAATTAAAACTATTGAGAGAGAGAAAGAGAAAGAGAAAGAGAGAGTGAAAGATAGTGAAGGGAAAGAGCATCGTATGGTGTTCTTAATCTTAAGAGAT